CCCCCCAAAAAAAAACGAAATTCAAGAAACTTTTAGTCTAATACAGGATAGACTTTTAGTTGTGTACTGAGATGAGGTATGAGAGGAGAGAAAAGTTGGAAGAGACTTCAAAATAGCACAGGGGCTAAGGATGTAGCCCAAATAGCAAGCAAAAGGTTCTGAGTACAAACCACAATACCAGAGGGGGGATGGGAGATGTCACAGGGTAGCTGAGTAGTATATAGTAGTAGTTAAGTTTGATCAGAAAATGAGATCAAAATTTAGGTTGCATTCAGACCATAGCTCAGTGGTAGAGTACTTGCCTAATGTGTGAGGCCCTATGATCAATATCAGCCCTGAAAAAAATACATCAAAACTTGTTTCTTTCCTGTTGCCACTATATGATGCCATCTTCAATCCCTTATGGATGTGCATACCCCTGTTTAGTCTTTGAGCAATGCCTAGTACATTTTGGTATCTTGACTAGGTTCTAGGACTGTACAAAAAGCTTGCTCTCCCCTAGAAGGAGTGAAGCTATTCAATTGAACAACTAGTGCATAATCTCAAAGCCTGTGAACAGAATACCCTCTCTCCACTTTATCTTTGTCTCTTTGCCCCTTAGTCCAAGATCCATCCACTAGCCTTTCCCCCAATACTGTCTGTACCACTGTGACCATGCATTAAGACCTGGGTCCATGGAGAATGAGGAAGCTGCTGCACCAATATGGCTGGCTGAGGCTTCCCAAGGCCCTATAAGGAGGAAATGGATAAATGCCTTAATCAAAAAGACGGTAGCCTCAGGTCTTATCAAAAGAGAACAGCTTCCTTACTCCTTCCCCCATCTTTGGCCAAGTCACCAAAGTTCTACAGCAGTGCAGCCAGCTGATGGGAAGGGAGGATCTGTGAAAGTGGGCCAGAGTAGGATAGTACAGGCCAATTCACAGTTGCACTATCCCAAACAGAAAGTGATGGTAGTTGGACTAGCATGGTGGAAGTGAAGATGGGATGAAGGTTCAAGAGACAAAGTTGAGGGGCAGAAGCAGCAGGACTTGGGGATGAACTGTCAGGGGACAGAGGAGCCCTGGCTTTCAACCATTTAACACTCCCCAGGGTAGCCCCACCCCCTTCTGGGTAATCCTAGAGATAGTGCCTTCATTCTGCCTGCTCTTCAGTAAATTACTTTGAGTTCTACTTTGATAAGAAAACACTTCCTGTGGTGGAAACTTCAAGAAAAGGAAAGAGCTGACCCATTCCTGCTTAAGAGGTTGAGGGAGAAGGAAGATGGCCAGAGCTTTGTATCCACTCAATGCCCTCTGGTTTCTGGAGTGTGCACTACTGTTCTTGGGACCTAGTGCTACCCCTCCAGCCTGGGCCTTGAACCTGGACCCAGTGCAGTTCACCTTCTATTCAGGCCCCAATGGCAGCCACTTTGGATTTTCAGTGGACTTTCACAAGGACAATCATGGGAGGTGAGCCATGGAGTTGGGTGGGGGGAGTATGAGCATGACTGCTTCTATGGACCTCTAGTTCTCCATTTGTGGTAGCCACTGTGCAAGGTGGAGTCTGGGTTGGTTGGGATTGAGCTCTTTGTCAGGAATGCTGGTGAGAGTGTTGGAGGGGTGCTCTTGGAGAGATGGATACTGAAGAGTACAAAAGTTGTATTTCTTTCCTAAAATGATTGTTAGTTGTATGGCCCTGGTTCCTCTAAAATAGAAGTGCACATCTTGATTTGAAAAACTCCATCTGTCTACCCATCTTCACCACGCTTTTCTACTCCATTTCTCTCATTCCCCTTCCAAATTATAGATATTTGAAGAGAAGTAATATGTCACTAATGATTGGTATTGATCAGGCTTTAAAAACCAAATGCCATGATTAGAGTCATGGCTCATCCTCTGTAGCTGTGAATGACTTAACTGTGGTAGACCCTGGAACAGTCAGCTTTGAAGAGTTGCAATGGCAGATAGCCTTCAAGGAACAACCACAGAGGGGAATTTCCTCTGCTGAATAGAGCCACTTCATCCAAAGTGAAGTCCTTTTCCCAAGAGGGAGACTCACATTCAATGACTGACCAGTGAGAAGTATAGGGGTGTAAGGGTCCAACTTTTGAAACTTTTTGAAAAAGTATTCTGGCTCCAGAGCTCCTAGAATATTGGATCATCTGCTCCCTCTTGCTTCATTTTCCTCCTTTCTACAAGCACTGGGCCATGGGCACAACTGTGGGATACACAAACATGTACATATGTCTAGATAAATATGTATGTACAGCATTTTTTTTGCCAGTCATGGGGCCTGAACTCTGGACCTGGGTGCTGTCCCTCAGCATTTCAGCTCAAGGCTAGCGCTCTACCACTGGAGCCACAGCACCACTTCCAGCTTTTTATGCTTATGTGGTGCTGAGGAATCAAACCCAGGGCCTCATGCATGCAAGGCAAGCACTCTATCACTGAGCCACCTTCCCAGCCCTGTACAGCATTTTTTTCATCAGTCATGGACCTCAAGCTCGGTTTAAGGGTACTGAGCCACAGTTCTACTTCCAGTGTTATGGGGGTTAATTGGAGATAACAGTCTCATAGACTTACTTTCCCGGGCTGGCTTTGAACTGCGATCCTCAGATCTCAGCCTCCTGAGTAGCTAAGATTATAGGTGTGAGCCATCAGTGCCCAGTATGTACAGCATATTTTTAAAAACACTTGGCATGGGGCTGGGAAGGTGGCTCAGTGGTAGAGCGCTTGCCTTGCATGCCAGACGCCCTGGGTTCAATTCCTCAGCACCACATAAGCAAAAAAAGCTGGAAGTAGTACTGTGGATCCAGTGGTAGAGTGCTAGCCTTGAGCTGAAATGCTGAGGGACAGCGCCCAGGCCCAGAGTTCAGGCCCACAACTGGGGGGGGGGGAAGGTTGTATTGGGGGGAGGTAAAACAAAAGGCCCACTGATAGAGCCCTTGCCTAGCAGCTCTGAGGCCCTGAGGTTTATTCCTAGGTGTGGGGGGATGATGGGGAGTGTCCTTGCCCCTCTTACCACCATCACTTCCCTTTCAGGCTGGGGAGTTGGTACTTGGGGCCCCTGGTGGCTATTTTTTCTTAGGTATGTGCCTTAGTGGTATGCCCTCTCATCTCATGGTCTGGGGCAACCCCAGGTAATTGGTCTCTTACACTTCCCGTGCCTTCTGCCTTTTATGCCTTAGGTCTCCTGGTCCGGGCTCCAATTGCCAGTATCATCTCAAGTTACCGCCCTGGTACCCTTCTGTGGCACGTTCCCAACCAGCGCTTCACCTATGATTCCAGCAACATAGATTACTTTGATGGCTACCGAGGTAACTCTGGCACCTACCTCCCTTCCAGGACTTCCAGCACCCTAGGAGTCACTGTCTACCCAGCTGGCCACATTCTCCTGTGGGGAAAACCCTGGCAGGCCAACCCTCTGCCCCAGCTGCTTCTCCTAAGCCTACCCAACTCCTATGTTCCCCACCTTGCCTTTCCTACATGGCCTTGCTGTGTGTCCTCCAGCAGGTCTTGGCTTCAGTTTTCTCATCTGCAAGGTTTGCACTGAGTGGCCTCTCTGTCCCCTCCTTCTTTCTCCTTGCTTTATACTTCCAAAAACACTAACTGTGCTGTCTTCAGGGTACTCGGTGGCTGTAGGGGAGTTCGATGGAGATCCAAGCACTACAGGTAAGAAATCCATTCGTAGGCAGCAAGTAGGGAACCCACATGGAGAATCATCTCTCCCAAAGTCTCCCCTGGGTACAGAATGGGCTGATGGGATTAAGTATGTTCTTAGGATTTCATTCACTGAGCCTTGCTCTTCCCAGAGTATATCTTTGGTGCCCCCACTTGGAGCTGGACCTTGGGAGCGGTGAGTTCACCCTGTCCCTCCATTCAACATTGAAGCCCCAGAACCCAGTCCTCAGGTTAATTTCCCGCACCTCCAAACCCCCTGCCCTTTCTCACTGGAAGCAGGAGGCTGCGGAGGGAGTAAGAATGATGAATTGCAGTGTGTCCCTCCATGCAGGTGGAAATTTTGGATAAATACTACCAGACACTGCACCGGCTGCATGGAGAGCAGGTACGGATCAGGTACCTGAGGGAGTGGCCAAAGCCAGGAAACTGAAACCCCAGAATATTTCATAGGATGTGAGTGTGGATGTCCAATAGAAGGTGTCCAGTACTGAGGAGAGCTAAGATACTCTTTGTCTTGCAGATGGCTTCGTATTTTGGTTACTCAGTGGCAGTCACTGACGTCAATGGGGACGAGTGAGTAGGGGGAATGCCCTATGCATGTCCAATTGGGTCCCCAGTTACCAGAGGTAAGAGCTACACACCATCTCTTCCTTTCCCAATCTCAGGCAAGGTAGACAACAAGGGTGGGAAGACTTGGCACTTGTCAGCATCTTCTAGCCCAATCTCACCTAACCACCCATCTGTTCCACAGGAGACATGACCTGCTGGTGGGTGCCCCATTGTACATGGAAAGCCGAGCTGACCGCAAACTGGCTGAGGTGGGGCGAGTGTACTTATTCCTGCAGCCCCGAGGTCCCCATGCACTGGGACCTCCTAGTCTCCTGCTGACCGGCACACAGCTCTATGGGCGATTTGGCTCCACTATTGCACCCCTGGGTGATCTCAACCGGGATGGCTACAATGGTGAGAGAAGAGAGGAGCTCCATTTGCTGCAGGAAGGTTAACAGCCCCAACAAAAAGCTGGACTTGAGCCTTGCACCAATGGTTTATACATGTAATCCTAGCTACTCAGGAAGTTAAGATCTGAGGATCAAGGGTCAGAGCCAACTGGAGCAGGAAAGTCTCCAATAAACCACGAAAAAGCTAGAAGTAGAGGTGTAGATGGTAGAGCACCAGCTTAAAGCAAAAAGCTAAGGAACAGCACATAGGCCCTGAGTTCAAGCCCTAGTACTGGGGAAAAATTAAAAAGCTAGACTTGAACTGAGGACAGCAGGAGTCAGGGAAGGCCTGTTCAAAAATGACCTCATCAGATATGTGTTTTTTCATCCTATTATGATTTAAAACCTGGCTTCTGGGGTTGGAAGCATAGATCAATTAGTAGAACACTAACCAAGAATGAAAGTCTTAGGTTCCAAGTTTGAGTCCCTGTCTTGGACCTAAAGAAAAGAAAACCCTAAGCCAGGTGCTGGTGGCTCACGCCTGTAATTCTAGATACTGAGGAGGCTGAGATCTGAGGATCACAATTCAAAGCCAGCCTGGGCAGGAAAGCACGTGAGACTCTGATCTCCAATAAACCACCAGAAAACTGGAAGTGGTGCTGTGGCTTAACTGGTAGAGTGCTCGTCTTGAACTGAAGACTCAGGGACAGTGCCCAGGCCCAGAGTTCAAGCCCTACAACTGACAAAAAGAAAACTCCATATGCTAAGTGGGGAACAGACAGCAGAGTCCTTTTTCTTTTATGGTCTGGTCGCGAGGCCTAGCTCTGGGCCTGGGCACTGTCCCTCAGTTCTTCAGCTCAACAACACCACTTCCCGCTCTTTTCTTCTTGCTTATGTGGTGCTGAGGAATCGAACCCAGGACCTCAGGCATGCAAGGGAAGTGCTCTACCACTGAGCCACCTTCCCAGCCCCCTGACAGCAGAGTTCTAATGAGACTACTAGGATGTGCATGCCCTTGCCTTAAGCCAGGCAAGATAACCATTGCCTTTGGCAATGGAATTTGAGATGAGATGACTTTGCAGATATTTAGAACATGGATTATTAGGACTTGATGGGAGATGAGATATGGGGTAAGGAAGAAAGAAGGGTTGAAGTACTGGCGGTGTTCTTCATTGCTTAATGCTAAGGCAACACCGCAAGTCTAAGGGAGCAGGGAGATGAAGGGCTGGAGAGCATTAGGTGGCAACATGCAGGGAATCTTCCATTGTGGCTTCTCCTTAGTCCATAAGGAAGAGTTGAGTGAGAAATAGAAAACTGGGGAAAGTAGATGAGTTATGGAGCCTGTGAATGGAGTAAATGGAGAAGAGGCCCAGGATAGACCCCCAGGGTGCCAAGAGCATGTAGGGACACCCAGAGAAGATGAATCTGGGAAAAATGCAAAAGTGTCGAGATTGTAAGGGGAAATAGATCAGACAACCCAGAACTCCAGGAAGAGAACTTGGAGCAGGAAGAAGGCACATGGAAGTGGTTTCTGATACTACTGAAAGGGCTTGAGGAGACATCCATGGGTTTTGGCAAGAAGACTGTCAGTGGTAATAGCAATAAGACCTAACCCAGGGTGTTGTAGGAATAGAAGCCAGAACCCCATGGGGCAAGGTATGAATAGAGGTGAAGTATAAAGGAAGTATGTAGAACTACTCTTTCAGCCAATTTGATTGTGAGAAGAAACAGGATGATCATGAAAAGGACATAGAGGCCACAGAAGATCATTTCGATTTGGAAGAATAGGCAATGTGTTGAATGTGAGGAAAATGATTTTGCAGGGAAGTAGAAGAGTGAGCCAGAGGAAGGTCCTTATGGATGCCCAGGGTGGAGATACCTGACTCAGAGGCCTGGTAAAGAAAAAAAATGCCTGGGAATGGGAATGTGGCTCAGTGGTAGAGAGCTTGCCATGCATGCACAAGGCTCTGGGTTTGATTCTTCAGCATCACATAAGCAGAAAAAGCCACAAGTGGTGCTATGGCTCAAGTTAGAGCGCTAGCCTTGAGCTGAAGAGCTAAGGAACAGCACCCAGGCCCAGAGTTCAGCAGCAACATTCAGTCCCCAGGAGTCTCATTGAAACTAAGCCAGGCATTGGTGGCTCACAACTGTAAACCTAGCTACTCAGGAGGCTGCAATCTGAGGATTGTTATATGAAGCCAGCCCAGGCAGGGAAGTCCGTGAGACTCATCTCCAATTAATTACCCAAATACCAGAAGTGGAGCTATGGCTCAAAGTGGTAGAATGCTAGCCTTGAGCAGAAAATCTCAGGGACAGCACCCAGGGTCTAAATTCAAGCTCAATCCTCAGATCTCAGCCTCCTGGGTAGCTAGGATTACAGGCATGAGCAATTGGCACCTGGCTTTCTCATCCAGATTCTTGATTCTTCTGCCTTGTCTTGCTAGTGCTGGGTTACAGTGTGCACCACCATGCCTGACTTCAGTTTTTGCATCTAAAATGGGAATAATAGTGCTTCATTGTCAGAAGTAAATGAAATCTTGTCACTGTATTTTCCTCAAGAGATAGTGAGGGCTGTTAAGAGTTCTTATAACAGTCCTACTTGACTAATCCCTCTCCTGCCAGATTGTATACTCCCAGAGGGCAGGGCAGTGACCTTCTTGACCCAAACTGTGCCAGTCTGATCTCCTGGGGTTTCCCCAGAGAAGTAGCTAGGAGAGTTTCACTGAGTTTCCTGGGGACTGAATGTTGCTGCCTTTGTGTCACTCTTTCCAGATGTTGCAGTGGCTGCCCCCTATGGTGGTCCAGATGGTCGAGGCCAAGTGCTGGTGTTCCTGGGTCAGAGTGAGGGGCTGAGTGCACGCCCCTCCCAGGTCCTAGACAGCCCCTTCCGCACAGGCTCTGGCTTTGGCTTCTCTCTGAGAGGTTCCGTAGACATTGATGACAATGGATACCCAGGTGTGCCTCCACTACCACAGAAAAGTCTTTGGGCCTTGTTAGAATTCTTGAGTCACGACTGGGTCCATGCATGGCCTAGTGCCCCTCCCTCACCCCCCCCGCCCCGCCCCACCAGGGGCTCTGCCTTCTCTATGTGGGATGCCAAGGTATGGAGGGGTTCATGGAATCTCTAGAGGGGAAAGAGGTGTGGAAAGATAAGGACCCCAGGCCTTCTCTAATTGCCCTTTCTGACTCTCAATATCTGCAGACCTGCTGGTCGGAGCTTATGGGGTCAGCAAGGTGGCTGTATACAGGTGAGCACTGGCCTGGGAGTTGGTAGCAGGGAGTCTACCCTATCGGGGAGGCTGATCCAGGAGAGGCACCATGACAAGCCTCTTTCATCCTATCAGAGCTCAGCCAGTGGTGATGGCCACTGTCCAGCTGCTGGTGCAAGATTCCCTAAATCCTGCTGTGAAGAACTGTGTCCTACAGCCTGCCAAGACTCCTGTGAGCTGGTGAGGAAGTAGAGGGCATGGACTAGGCAGGAGCTGGGCCCTCCAGAGATTCCCATTCCTCAACCCACTCACATCTTTGCAGCTTCACCATCCAGATGTGTGTGGGAGCCACTGGGCATAACATTCCTCAGAAACTTTGTGAGCAGCATGGGGAGGGGGTAGGAGGTTGGCCTGGCTTCCTCCTTTTAGAGATAGGCCTGGGAGATCCTGACTCTTCCTGCTTCTCCTGTCAGATCTAAATGCTGAGCTGCAGCTGGACCGTCAGAAGCCCCGCCAGGGTAGGCGAGTTCTCCTGTTGGATTCTCAACAGTCAGGTCTCACCCTGAGACTGGACCTTAGCAGAAGTCAGAGCCCCACCTGCCACAACACCACAGCCTTCCTTCAAGTACGTCTGGGTTAGGTTTACAGGGGTCACCAGACCCAGGGCACTGAATGGGCACTGTGGAGCCAGGATATGGTTCTCCCTGATGAGCAAAATTGAGGGGTGGCACAGTAGCATGATGGCCTGACTCTTACCCTCCTGCTAGGATGAAGCAGACTTCCGGGACAAGCTGAGCCCCATTGTGCTCAGCCTCAATGTGTCCCTGCCCACCCAGGAGACTGGGGTGGCACCTGCCGTTGTGCTGCATGGAGACACCCATGTCCAGGAACAGGTGGGGAAGGCAGGGGCCAGGCAGGGGAAGTGCGAGACCCCCAACAGAAGGGCAAGATTAGTGCACAAATTGTACCATAAACCCCAAAACCTTGATGTCACCCAAAACCCCAGTGAAGCCCCAAATATCCATGTCCCCTAAATCTTAATATAAATTCATAAGCCCTAATATCACAGCCTAACATTGTCTGGGACTTTATCATCAACTGCAAAGCCCTACTACTTCCTACCCTTCTCATCCTTGGGTCCCTTATTCAGAAGCTCTGCTGTGGTGGTTTTCTGACCCTCATGTGTCTTCTAGACCCGGATCATCCTGGACTGTGGTGAAGATGACTTGTGTGTGCCCCACCTTCAGCTCAATGCCACTATGTGAGAGGACTTCCCACTCTTCTTCCCTTATCCCTCCCTGCCCTATCAGACCCCTTCCTCAGTTGGGTTCCCTCTCCTCTTCCCAGATCCAGCTTCCCCAGCCTCACCCTTTGTCCCCAGCAGGAAGGGCTCCCCACTTATAATTGGAGCTGACAATGTGCTGGAGCTGCAAATGGATGCAGCCAATGAGGGTGAGGGGGCCTATGAGGCAGAGCTGGCTGTGCACCTGCCCCCAGGGGCCCACTACATGAGGGCCCTCAGCAACCTCCAGGTGAGGCCCCACCCTGGCCACTGCTTTGCTGGAAAGATGCAATTTAAAAAATTATGTGTGTGTGTGTGTGTGTGTGTGTGTGTGTGTGTAGAATACTTGCTAATGTCACAAAATTGAAGAACTCTATTATAACCTCTTCCCAAAGACTCAAGAACCAAATATTAACAAGAACCTCTGTTTATCATTGGCTGGATTTTCTTCCAATCTTTTCCCCAAAGAAAATATTCAGGGTTTTTTTGTTGTTATTGTTATTATTTGTTTTTTCATGTGCTAGACCCAGGACTTGAATTCAGGGCCTGTACTGAGCTTTTGTGCTCAAAGCTAACACCTGAGCCACAGCTCCCCTTTATGGTTTTTTGGTGGTTAATTGAAGAGTCTCATGGACTTCCCAGCTTGAGCTGTCTTCAAACCAAGATTTTCAGGTATCAGCCTTCTGAGTAATTAGGTTATAGGCATGAACAAATGCCCTGCCTGAACTTGTTTAGTTTTTATTTCATTGATGTCGTTCGAGATAGGATCAGATATGTAATATTGAGTTTTTATTTCCAAAATTAAAATCATTAAAAATATTAAAAGTACAGCCAGGTGTGGTGGTATACACCTTACACCCAGCTCTTGGGAGGGGGAGGCAGGAGGATTGAGAGTTCCCAGGCAGCCTAGGTCATATAGTGAGTGAGTCTCTGTCTCAAAAACAAAACAAGCTGGGTATTAGTGGCTCACATCTGTAACTTAACTACTTGGGAGGCTGAGTTCTGAGGATCTCAGGTCAAAGTCAGCCCAAGTAGCAAAATCTATGAGACCCTTTTCTCCGATAAAAAATCAAAAGACCAAAAATACTGGAAATGGAGTTTGGACAAAGTGGTATAGTCTTAGCCCTGAGCCAGAGAAACTCAGGGACAGCACCATGAGTTCAAGCACCAGGATCAGCACTTACAAAAAAAAAAAAGTAATAGGGGCTGGGAAGGTGGCTCAGTGGTAGAGCGCTTGCCTTGCATGCCTGAGGCCCTGGGTTTGATTCCTCAACACCACATAAGCAAAAAGAAAAAAGCTGGAAGTGGCGTTGTGGCTCAAGTGGTAGAGCACTAGCCTTGAGCTGAAGAGCTGAGCGATAGCGCCCAGGCCTAGAGTTCAGGCCCCACGACCGGACCAAAAAAAAGAAAAAAAAAAGCAATAGTAGCTGGGTGCCAGTGGCTCATGCTCATAATCCTAGCAACTCAGGAGGCTGAGATCTGAGGATCATGGTTCAAAGCCAGCCCAGGCGGGAAAGTCTGTGAGACTCTTAATCTCCAATTAACCACCAGAAAACAGGAAGTGGTGCTGTGGCTCAAGTGGTAGAATGCTAACCTTGAGCTAAAGAGCTCAGGGACAGTGCACAGGCCAGAGTTCAGGCCCACCACTGACCAAAAAAAAGAAAGAAAGAAAGAAAAAAAAGCAATAGTAATGTGCTACCACCATACAGAAAGTACAATGTGGCAGTGCCTTGAAGTCTCAGTCCAGGAAAGCCCTCTCTGTAGCTTGGCACATGAGATTTTTTTTTTTAATTTTTTTTTTTGGGTCCGGTCGTGGGGCCTGAACTCTGGGCCTGGGCGCTGTCCCTCAGCTCTTCAGCTCAAGGCTAGCGCTCTACCACTTGAGCCACAGTGCCACTTCCGGCTTTTTTCTTTTTGCTTATGTGGTGCTGAGGAATCGAACCCAGGGCCTCAGGCATGCAAGGCAAGCGCTCTACCACTGAGCCAACTTCCCAGCCCGGCACATGAGATTTTTGTGGACTTACCAGCAGTTCAAATAAACACTGGCTACCTGGTAACCCACTTTTGTCTCTGAAACTGCTCCCTGCAGGGCTTGGAGAGGCTCATCTGCAACCAGAAGAAAGAGAATGAGAGCAGAGTAGTGCTGTGTGAGCTGGGCAACCCCATGAAAAACAATGCCCAGGTGAGGCCTCCCAGGCAGGGGGAGGGCCTAGTGGGGGCTGGGGTGGGCCTCTAGCAGCTCTGAGTTGTTATCCTGGTGCTCAGATAAGTGCAGTTTCATCTCTGAGTGGGATTCCTGATGAATGGAGATAACAAGGGCGGTCTTGGAGTACTGGAGGGCACATTCAGGGCAGTGCTGCCCAAAGTGAGTGGCTGTGCACTGACTTTGAACCTCCCTTCTCCCAGATCAGAATCACTATGTTGGTGAGTGTGGGGAACCTGGAAGAGGCTGGGGAGTCTGTGTCCTTCCAGCTGCAAGTCAGGAGGTACTGGACCCGGGTATTCACCTACCTGTCACCCTTCTTCTGAGCCATACAGACCTCCCATACAAGTCCCTATTCTTGTTGGTCCTGAGACTTTTATCTAGTCTTGAAGTCCTGGGGAAAAACTATTTCCCAGGTCTAACTTCTAGTTACAAGTTTCTAGTCTTGGACAAGAGCATAGCTCAAGTGCTAGGCCTGGAAAGTGCTAGTGCCTAGCAAGTGTGAAGCCCTAAGTTCAATCCCCAGTACCAAAAGCTTTCAAGAAATCTCTATTATCTTATTCATTTGTCTGAGGCTTGAACACAGGGCTTGAATACAGGGTCTCAGTGCTGTCTAGTAGCTTCCCCCCCTCCACTTCCAGTCCTGGGGCTTGAGCTCAGGGGCTGGGCATTGACCCTGAGTTTCTTTTTGCTCAAGGCTAGCACTCTACCACTTGAGCCACAGTGCCACTTTCAGCTGTTTCTGTTTATGTGGTATTGAGGAATCAAACCCAGGGCTTCATGCATGCTAGACAAGCACTCTACCACTAAGACACATTCCCAGCCCTGTGTGTGTGTATGTTGTTGTTGTTTGTTTGTTTGTTTGTTTTGTCGGTTGTGGGGCCTGAACTCAGCCTGGGCGCTGTCCCTTAGCTCTTCAGCTAAAGGCTACCACTCTACCACTTTGAGACACAATGCCACTTCTGGCTTTTTCTGTTTATGTGGTGCTGAGGAATTGAGCCCAGGGCCTCATACATGCAAGGCAAGCAGTCTACCACTGAGCCACCTTCCCAGCCCATTGTTTGTTTTATTTGCCTTTCTTGGGGCTTGAACTCAGGGCCTAGGCACTATCCAAAAGCTTCTTTTGCTCAAGGCTAGCACTCTACCACTTGAGCCACAGCAACACTTCTGGCTTTTTCTGTTTGTGTAGTACTGAGGAATTGAACCCAGGACTTCATGCATGCTAGGCAAGCATACTATCTCTAACCCACATTCCTAGCTCCTGTAGCTTTTTTAAAGCTCAAGGCTGGTGCTCTTCCACTTGAGCCACACCTTCCCTTCTGGATTTTTGGTGGTTAATTGGAGTTAAGAATTTCATGGACTTTCCTACTACATGGGTTGGCTTCGAACCTAGATTGTCAGATATCAGCTTCCTGAGTAGCTAGGATTACTGGTGCCTGGCTTTCAAGAAAGTTCTTCCCCAGGTCTAACTTTGGTGTGGCAGCTGTTTATGAAATTAGTAGCTCTCTCTCTGAGCCTTTCAAAGTTCTGGCTCCGCCCTAAAAGAGATCTGGTGTGCCTCACTTGCCTCTTCTCACCCCCTCTCCAGCAAGAACAGCCAGAATCCAAATAGCAAGGCAGTACTGCTGGATGTGCCAGTCCGGGCAGATGCCAGAGTGGAGCTTCGAGGGTAAGAGGCCATGAGTGGGAAAGGGAGATGGCAGGCAAGACTCTACCACTCAGGGGAGGAACTGGGTACCCCTGTAGCTTAGGGCTCAGGGGTAAGGTGCATGCTTAGCATGTGTCAGATTCCAAGTGCAAAAGAAAAAAAATTCAGCGGATTATGAGGCATCCTCCACAAGCCTGAATCACTCTGGGGCTTGGGTACCCCCAGAAACTCCTTTCCAGCCTCATTGGTGGTGGCAGCAGAAGAAGGTGACAAGAAACAGAATGGCTTGGACAGCTTGGTCCTCAGGGTGGAACATACTTACGAGGTAGGGATGCAGGTAGGAGCCTGCAAATCCTGGGCTGGGGTGAGATGATCCTAGGAATTGCAGGCTGAGTGCTGAGCTACGTCATCCTGTGACCACCTCCCAGCTCCACAACGATGGCCCTGGCACTGTGAATGGGCTCCACCTCAGCATTCACCTCCCTGGCCAGTCTCAGCCCTCTGACCTACTCTACTTCCTGGACATACAGACCCAGGGGGGCCTCCAGTGCTCCCCACAGCCCTCTCCCAATCCCCTCAAGGTGAGAGCCCAGGGGAGGGAGAAGGAGCTGTGGGACATCCCCTATCTCAGGCTAGCTCACCTCAGAGATGTGAGTGTAGATTTGGAGAACTGAGGTGTCTTTGCCCCCTAGCTGGAGTGGAGGCTCCCCACCCCAAGCCCGTCCTCTACTCTGCCAGTGCATCACAAGCGAGAGCGTAGAGAGGCCGTCCTGCCTGCGCCCAAGCCACATGGAGAGCAGGAGACAGTTCTGGTGGTGAGCAGGCTCTGGGGGTGTCCGTTGGGGCTTCACTGCTGCTCAAGAGCCAGAGAGGATGAGAGGCAGGGAGAGCCGCTGGGTGTATGATCTGGGCCTCTCTTGCTCGCACAGTGTTCTCCAAATAAACTTGAAAGATGATGCTGGACTGGCATGTAGGGTGGGCCTGGAACACTTGGAATTCTTAAGCTTCTTAGTACATTTAAAAAGGCCAAGGAGGGCTGGGAAGGTGGCTCAGTGGTAGAGCACTTGCCTTGCATGCTCGAGGCCCTGGGTTCGATTCCTCAGCACCACATAAGAAAAAAAAGCCGGAAGTGTCGCTGTGGCTCGTGGTAGAGCACTAGCCTTGAGCTGAAGAGCTGAGGGACAGCGTCCAGGCCCAGAGTTCAAGCCCCACGACTGACAAAAAACAAAAACAAAACAACAACAACAAAAAAGGCCAAAGAAATGTTACCCAGATTCTGGATATTGGAGGCTATTTGATGGCTCCCTCCTTCCAGCCTTACATGTCGGGGACTGTTGAGGAGGTGGCTGGAGATTTACTCCTCACCCTCTGTGTTGGGTCATTGGGGGGGATGGACCCAGAGGAGCCGGGAACTGATACCAAGTCCCCGCAGAGCTGCGATTCGGCACCCTGTACCGCGGTGCAGTGTGAGCTGCAGGAGATGGCGCGTGGGCAGCGGGCCATGGTCACTGTGCTGGCCTTCCTGCAGCTACCCAGCTTCCGCGCGGTGAGGAGGGGGTGGGGGGCGGGGCCTACCGGGCCAAGCTTCTTGGGGGCGTGGCCTTTTGCTCTGGGCGTGGGTGGGGCTTCAGGATCTGGAAGAGGCCAGGACCAGATTTATTTTGTGGGCGGGGCTAGGTTAAACCACAGGGTGGGCTCCTCAACTGGGAGTCCAGGGCTTGGACTATGTTGCTGATGTAAACGGCTTGCAACCCTACTGCCTGCAGAGGCCGCTGGAGCAGTTTGTGCTTCAGTCCCACGGGTGGTTCAACGTCTCCTCCTTTCCCTACGCGGTGCCTGCGCTCAGTCTGCCTAGTGGGGAAGCTCTGGTGAGTGAGGGGGATCCCAGGTGGAAAAGCAAACTGCAGGACCAAGGGTCACACAGTGTCAGTGCCAGCATGGGGACAGGGCCTCCCTAAGGCTGAAGGGTGGCTAGGCTGGGAGCCACGTGGCCCAGGTCTGAGTCTTTTGAAAGGCAGGTGTCTAGGGACTGAGGAGACACGGAATGTGCCTGCAGGTGCAGACTCAGCTGCTTCGTGCCTTGGAGGAAAGGGCCATCCCGATCTGGTGGATGCTGGTGGGCGTGCTAGGTGGCTTGCTGCTGCTCACCCTCCTGGTCCTGCTCATGTGGAAGGTAAGGTCAGAAGGATGGCAGAGTCCCCAGTGGGTACAGATTCGAAGGCAGGAAGATGTGCACTCTTAGAATTCATTCTCCTCAGGATCTCTCCCTGAGAAAACCTTTCTCCCTGCAAGGAAGTCACAGGCAATGAGGCCTACTTTGGAGAATTCTTGGCTGCTGGGGACAGGGTTCGATTCCTCCTTTGGTGTACCTTCCCCTTGAGTAATGCAGGCAGAAGGCAGACTCTCCTTGCTTCTTAGGAGGTCCTGGAGGGCCACTCACTGCTCTGTACCTGGAGAGCCAGATCCATACCCCAAGAAGACATAGTGCTTTTAGGATAAACCTATATTGAACCCATAATAAACAACCATATTGTCATGTACTTGAGTTATAAACTCCAATATTTAAGAAAAGTACAGAGGAGGATCTTTCCCCCACCCCCAATTTTAAACCCAACTTCTTGTTACACGTATTATCTATAAGCGAGGAAACTGTGTGTGTGCTCAAGCTCTGTACTGATCCAGGGAGAGGCTCTGGTGGCTTGCTGCATTCTAGCTTTTTCCTCATTGGTGCTCTGATCTCTTTAACCTGACACCTGCACATCCCCAGGTTGGTTTCTTCAAGCGGAATCGGCCACCCTTAGAGGAAGATGAAGAGGAGGAGTGATAGTGAGAAGGCTGGGGGCTGGCACCTGCTCTCTATCTCCAGCTAATTGTCTCCTGGCTCTGACTTCCATGGTTGGAGTCTTTCTGCTTTTCCTGCTGCCTAATAAAGAAGCTAACACCCCCCCCAAAAAAAAACACACACACACAGAGTGCTGCCTCCTTTTTGGGTAAGAGGAGGGAAGGGACTGCAGAATGCTTGGAATGGGGAGCAGGGAAGAGTAGGTCTCTGCCAGAGTAAAGGTTGCAAATTACAGTCAGGGACTAGAGGGTGGGTGTGGCAAAATGAAGAGAGTGAGGGAGAAAAGGAGGGGGTCTTTGGGTGATACTGAAGGAGGGTGAGAGTATTTGATGTAGGTAGTGGGAATGGGTTTGGGAGCCCCAGAGAAGGAAGACTGGGTTCCACTGGGAAGCTTTTTTAAAATGTATTTTTTGGTGGTACAGTGACTCATGCCTGTAATCCCAGATACTCAGGAGACAGCGATGGAGTGGATAGCAGTTTGAAGACAACTCAGAGCTGGGTGCTGGTGGCCTATGCCTGTAATAATAGCTACTCAGAAGGCTGAGATCTGAATATCTTTGTTCAAAGCCAGCCCACACAGACCAATCCGTGAGACTGTTATCTCTAATTAACCAGCAAAAGGCTAGAACGGAGGTGTGGCTCAAGGGGCAGAGTGCCAGCCTTGACTGAAAAAGCCAAACGAGATCACAAGATACTGAGTTTAAGCCCCAATACAGGTATACACACGAACAATAGACAGCTTATAGCTGGGTGCTAATGGCTCACACCTATAATCCTAGCTACTCAGGAGGCTGAGATCATGGTTCAAAGCCAGCCCAGGCAGTAAAGTCCATGAGACACTTATCTCCAATTAACCACCACTAAACTGGGAATAGCTCTGTGGTTCAAGTGGTAGAACAACTAGCCTTGAGCTAAAGAGCTAGGGGACAGTGCCTAGGCCCAGAGTTCAAGCCAAAAAAAAAAAAAAAAAGACAGCTCAGGCTGGCACCAGTGGCTCATGGCTGTAAGCCTAGCTACCCAAGAGGCTGAGATCAAAGGATTGTGATTTGAAGCCATCCTGAGCAGGAAAGGCTGTGAGACTCTCCTCCAAAGCCAAAAGTGGAGCTATGGCTCAAATAGAGTGTTGGCCTTGAACAAAAAAGCTTGGGGATAGCTCCTAGGCTCTGAGTTCAAGCTTCAGGACCAACAGACAGACAGACAGACAAACATACATACACACACACACACACACACACACATTAGAAAGCTAATATGGAGGTTTACATCTATAATCAAGACTACAAGGAAGGCATTAGTAGGAAGATCACAGTTTGAGGCCTGTCCTGGGCAAAACACACAAAACCTTATTCAGGGATGGGAAGGTGGCTCAGTGGTAGAGTGCTTGCCTTGCATGCATCAGGGTTTGATTCCTCAGCACCACATAAACAGAAAAGCTGGAAGTGGCGCTGTGGTTCAAGTGGTAGAGTGCTAATCTTTATTTATTTATTTATTTATTTATTTATTTATTTATTTTGTCGGTCGTGGGGCTTGAACTCTGGGCCTGGGCGCTGTCCCTCAGCTCTTCAGCTCAAGGTGAGCGCTCTACCACTTGAGCTACAGCGCCACTTCCGGGTTTTTTTGGTGGTTTATTGGAGATAGGAGTCTCACGGTCTTTCCTGCCCGGGCTGGCTTTGAACCGTGATCCTCAGATCTCAGCCTCCT